CAACCAGAAAAACAAAAGGTTCCTTTTTTTTAACCCAAATTTTTTTTTTTCACTCCCCTTAGCGGGATTTTTCTTTTAGCATGGGGCCCAGGGGTTTTTTTTGTCCCCGGGGGGTTTCCTTTTTTCCCGGGGGGTGCCCCTCGGGGGGGGGGGGGGGTTTTTGACCCTTGGGCAAACGGGGCAAAGAAAAAGGGGCCACCCAACCCCGGGCGGGTGGGCCTTAAACCTTTCGCGGGGGTTTCAAAAATCAATTCCTCTTTTCTTCGGTTAAAACCCTTTTCCCGAAAAATTCAACAGGGCCGGTAAAAACCCGTGATAACCCCCAAAGCCCCTTTTTTGGGGGCCCCCCCCCCTCGTTTTTTTTTCCTCCTTTTCCCCTCCCCATTTTTCCCGGGCCCTCTTATTCCAAAACCCATCCCGTCCTCCCCCCCCCCCCCCCCCCAAAAAAAAAAAAAAAAGCCCACCGGTCCAAAGACTATGGTATGCATGATGGTCATGAGCATTCACCCCTCTACCCTTCCCGTGGGCCGGCATACATATCGCGCCGTCCCGCATCGTAGGGATGCGAGGTCAAATGTCTAATGACTACGGCATGCGTTTCAATGAGTAACCCCCCCCCCCCAACCGCCATGCCTCTCTTCTGCCTCACCAACGACGTCGCCGGGCGCCCCGCCGCCGTTTCGGCGGCCGAACCGGCCCCTGGCGCCGCCCTGACCCCCAAGAACCAGTCAGCGTGTGGTTCTCCCTGCGTGTGCTCCAGGAGGTGAATCAGGCAGCCGTACAGGAACGCGCGGTACGTCTTCGAACCGTCCCCCGGGGTGTTCTCCATGGAGGAAGCTACAAGTCCCTTCGTCCTGGAAGGCACACCGGATTGGGGGACGGGGGGGGTGTTCATGAACGGTTTTAGTCTTCCCATAAATGATCCGAGAAATATCACAGGAATACAATTGAGGTGACAGCGAATGGAAGAAGGGAATGGTTGGAAGAAAGAGAGTGAGAGGAAGACGGAGAGAGAGTGAGAGGAAGGGGGAGAGAGAGAGAGAGAGAGAGAGAGAGAGAGAGAGAGAGAGACCGTGCCAAACACGATCAAGCGCACGCTAGGACTAGCGACATCGTCCGGTACCCAACACCAAGAAAACCAACAAGCATTGCGCCAAAAACCATCTCTACTTGTCAGACTGTCAGGTAAAAATAGACCCGACTCAAGCAGATTCGATTGGACTCACCCTGCCAGGCACTGCAGGAGAGACGAGATCAGCTGTTTCGACTCGGCCAGCTGCAGCGGCGCCCAAGCCCCCAGGTCCCTCATCACACCTGCACTCCACCCCACACACACACACACACAAACCCAACGCACGACGGCAAACACCGCGACAAGACCCAAGGTCAACAGACAGCGAGATTTGGCAAGGGTAACGAACGAACAACGTAACGAGTGCACAGCAAACGCACGGGAGAGAGAGAGGGAGGAGGCAGACAAAAGACAAATGTTGTGTGACGATATCAGGGACAAATGCGGGTCTCAATACCCCGACACCAGTTGCGCAATCTCGAGCACCCGACAACGCCTTCCTATTTCTCCCTTGGCCCCCTTTCTCCCAGCCCAGAAAATATAGATTTCCAAAACGTGTACGCGACACGTTCACTCATCCCTCTCACACGCGCTGACATCGTACCCGCTCTCCTCATACAGCAACGCGAAACCGCCCACAAGCAGCAGCAGCAGCAGCACCTCTCCCCTCCGCTGCCTCCCACTAACCCTCCTCCCCACCCAAGAGACGAACCACCGCGTCAATGCACACACTCGAAGCGTACACCAAGTCCATACATATACCATAGAAGCCGAAACTACACCACTAGAGCAGTCAGCGCTGACTTCTCCAATAAGTAGTTTGATTTCGGCCTCCTGACTAGTCTAACGGTACGATTTCGGCTTCCATAAAACAGACGGGGTCCCTGTCTCGTGCCGGTATGTGCCCGGAAAATTTACCGGTACTATACCGGACCGGCACTACTCAAAGTGCTGATAATGACTTCGGAAATTCAGTGTGTGCCCGCCGAAAACATCGGCACTATAACCGGGCATTGGCACTACCATTCAACTGGCACTAAACAGGGACCTCCTCTCTACGCGGAAAGCACGTGCATACATACGCACGTACCTGCCACGGATAGACAAGCCCTGCCCAGGGGCTTGAGAAGCTTGTCGTCCGCGCCCCCCATCCCCGTGAGCTTCCGTAGCATGCCCAGCAGCAGGGCGGGCAGCAGCCTCCTGGAAGCGACGGCCTTCGAAGGGTCCTCGCGAGGACCGAACAGGAGCTGCGGCGCGTTGATAAACGCCACCTCCAATACCTGAAAAAGAAAAAAAATACTCACGGCGTAAGCGGCGAGAAAAATGAAACAATTTTTGCGGTTTTTACATACCACATAAAACCAAAAAAGTTCACAAAAGGTATCCGAAACTATCTCATGCGGTATTAACATATATGAAATCCTTAAGAGGAAAAAAAAAAAAAAAACGATACACGGGCAGCAGAAGCTACACCAGCGTAGGGGACCCCAAAACACGGTAAACCCGGCACAGGTATGCGGTTGACCGTCAATAAAGAGGCACAAACCGAGCCCTAGCCCTACAGCCAGTACATAGCACCATCACCACCGAGCGGCACCTGCCGGGCGGGTAGGGATAGTACCCATGGAGGAACGAACGCGTGCGATACTGTACACACAGAAATGTTCGCTCAGCGTAGACAGTCGGTCATGGGGAGTGGGTTCTACCTGTCGCCACGCCTGGCAAAGGTGGCTCTGCGAGGCCAGGTTGTCCGTGTGAATGTTCCAGTGTATGGCCCAATTCAACGCCGTCCGTACGCGCTCGTCCATCTCTCGGCTGTCACAAGCAGGGAGGGGGTGGGTGGGATGCTGCCCGTCAGGGCAGGAAGCTGGCTAGCAGGAAACAAATAAAACGGAACTTGATATACCAGTGGGCCGAGCTGTGGAAGGTACGGAGTGGTCTAAATAGATGGCGTTTGGTGTGCGGGCGCGGAAACAAGACAAGAAGGACAAGACGCAAGCCAAAAGCCGCAAGCACTTTTACTTACCCATCTTGAATTCTTGCGCCAACAAATGACACGCAGCGGCAGCTGAAAGTAAAAAGCAGCAGAGGCAGTGGTGATGAATCAACCTCGAAAGTCGTCGTTTCAAGCGCCACCATCGCCACAGCCGTTGTGCCTCAGGTTGCGATAAGTGCGATAAGAACCCCATCCTCCTAAGGACACCAGCCACCCACTCTCACCATCGTGCTTTTGGCCTCACTACACTACTCCTGTGCTGTACCTGAGCTCCTCCCCCTCCCCCCCCAAACGCCATGTCTTAACGCAAGCAAGCCCCGTCTTCGACGACCAAGAGCAACCGGGGATATCAACTACGCATTCTCCCCCCCCCCCCCCCCCGGGAAGCGAAATCGAAAGGATAAAAAGACTAAGGAAAAAAAGAGCCCCCCTTGGCAAAGGAAGAAACAACGAATGGGCATCGGGGAACGGGCCCGGGGGAACAAAGCTCCCCCCCCCCCAGGACCGCGGGGCAAAGGGTTAACCGGGGATGCATGCAAAAAACAAAAGTACGGCCCCCCCCCCCCCCCCCCCCCCGAGAGTTGG